CGTCTCAAGTATATATATATATATATATATATATATATATATATATATATAGTTGCATTGGTAGAACAACGTATCCAGGATAACAAAAAGTGAAATGGCTGCAAATCAGGTATGCCCGATACGAGAACTTCTGCAGGTTCCCATAAACGGCTCACAACGAATCCATTCAGGGCAATAATACTGGTACACTGGTAACAAGATCATTGAAGTTGTCCGAATGATCCGCCAGTGGTAGGCGTGTTCACTGTGTGTTTTTAAATACTGAAAAATTTATCCATGCAATTGTTGTCGACCGGTTTAGAATGCCATTGATTGGAATGGATAACTGACCCCGGTGCAATCCATAAACAACAAAAACAACAATCGTTCAGCTGTAGCACCATTCCGGTGCTTAACTGCCATGCCACCCGAAGGTTGCACGGGGGCTGGGATACTTCCAGGTTGCCGAAGCCTAGACAGAGGAATACGAGAGGCAGAAGTCGGGTTCGAACCACGGACCTTCCGGTCAGTAAACTCGCGCTCTTACCACTTGGGCCATGTCACCCTTGGTGCAATCCACCTACCTGTGCTGAGACTTAAAATGGCTCCGTATCCATCTGTAGCCTGCGTAAAATACTTTTAGTGAATATAACCTCAGTCGTCTACCCAAGATGCTCATCTGCCTCGATAAGACACTTCTATATAAGGGAAAATGAAATGACATTTGAACAAATGTCGGAGCGAAAAGTGTGTTGTTTGGCGGCATATTTAACATTGATATCACACAGTATCACGACCAGAGTTTCCAGTATTTCCACCGTAAAAAAGTGGTCTGCGTTGTCATTATCATCATCCTCATTTCCGACAGCATAACATTAGTTTACAAAACCGGTGCTTTACCACGGCACGAACATGGCTTAATACTATGACTTATTCTTAAGGAAATAATAAGGCGGAAGGGAATTAGAGCTAACCTACCGTGATCATTCCGAGACGCTTAACCTCCAAACACTCATCATGAACTCTGGATAGAAACTGACAAACACATCGCCATTGACATTGATTGGAACCCATATCTTGCAACGTCTCAAACCAAGTGCAGTTTGGAGTACCGGGGCCCCATCTGGGAACGTCAGCCGCACCGACAGCACGCAGACATCTTATAATATCCCTCATGCCCGTCTGCCAAATCAAATGTTTCCAACCTATTTAATGTGCCAGTCGGAATTTGGCACAAAAATCAGTAATTTCTTGGGCAAACAATGGTCTGGCATTCACAGTACATGGTATAATCATCACAGCTTCCCGTGCTGGACATATTCTTCAATGGAAGCCCCAGTTTCACAGGCATACACTAGCATTCTAACTGCCATGCTACAGGTTCGACAACACCACATCACAGAAACTATGGTTCTGAGACGGTGGTCATCAAA